AGGTGCTTTTCCTGGTCTCCCATGGGGTGCAGGGCCCAAGCACCTGGGCCATCCTCCACTGCACTCCCTGGCCATAGCAGAGAGCTGGCCTGGAAGAGGGGCAACCGGGACAGAATCCGGCGCCCCAACCGGGACTAGAACCCGGTGTGCCGGCGCCGCAAGGTGGAGGATTAGCCTATTGAGCCACGGCGCCGGCTCTATCTGTTGAACTCTTAACACAGAGTTAATCATATATGTAAACCAGCGCCGCGGCTCACTAGGCTAATCCTCTGCCTTGCGGCACTGGCACACCGGGTTCTAGTCCCAGTCGGGGTGCCGGATTCTGTCCCGGTTGCCTCTCTTCCAGGCCAGCTCTCTGCTGTGGCCAGGGAGTGCAGTGGAGGATGGCCCAAGTGTATGGGCCCTGCACCCCATGGGAGACCAGGATAAGTACCTGGCTCCTGGCATCTGATCAGCGCGGTGCGCCGGCTGCAGCGCGCCGGCCGCGGCGGCCATTGGAGGGTGAACCAACAGCAAAGGAAGACCTTTCTCTCTGTCTTTCTCTCTCACTGTCCACTCCGCCTGTAAAAAAAAAATCATATATGTATAAAGTTAATTGAAAATAGATCTCAGTAAAAAATAAGAATGGGAATAGGAGAGGGAGGAGGAAGAAGAGAAGGCAGGTATGGTGGGAATAATCATCACTTTCCTAAAGTTATAGCTACGAAATGTAATAAAAAAAAAAATAAAGATGTCATTAAGCTGAAATACATTTAAAAGTTCTTCAATTTCTGATGAAAAATGCCCAAATATTTCTAAGATGAGACTTCTACTAATGCTACAACTTTATGTGCCTAATTACTTGCCTGTGCTTTCTGTCATGTTTAATGTTTATTGTTTTGAAGTTATTATCTTTCATCCTTGGTTTATATACTACAGACTGCATTAAATGATTTGCATGCATTACTTAAAAAAAAAAAAGAAATGTTGTGTTTCCAGCCTTCAGACTCAACACCAAAATACTAACCGTCACCTGAATCTCCAACCCGCTCACATGCGGGATAAATTTTGAACTTCCAATTCCCACTATCATATGAATCATTCATCTAAATAAATCTCTCCCTTTCTCTCTCCCCCTCATATACAGATGATACCTGACTTATGACGGTCCAACTCAAATTTTTCAGCGTTATGATGGTACACAAGCAATAGCAATCAGTAGAAACCATACTTGAAGTTTATCTTTTCCCAGCCTAGTGAAATGTGGTCCAATAGGAGAAGCCTCACCTCCCAGTCAGCCACAAAATCACAAAGATAAACAACCAATAATACACTGTGTACTGTATTGCTAAGCTATGATGTTTGGTATGTTAGGTGAATTAAATACACTTTCAACTTACAATATTTTCAACTTACGGTGAGTTTATAGCCCATAGATGGAATATAACTCTATTATAAGTTAAGAAGTATATATACAAGAATATATTTAACCCATAAATTGTTTTATCTCAAAGTACTTTCTAGTTTCCCTCAACACACTTTTTATGTAGAAGGATGTTGCTTTATTTCCAAATAATTGTGAATTCCCCAAATTTCTTTGTTACAAATCTCCAATTTCATTACATTGTAGTTAAAGAAAATATTCAGGGTCTTCAAAAGTTCATTGAAACTCATATTATGAAAAAAATATGCATGGGTTTCAAATTTTTTACAACCAAAGTAATTACCATTGAATTCCATTTTCCATAAACTTCTTACTTTTGTATTTTTATACTTCTATGCTTATAAATTTATAAAGGATTGATTTGTGGCCCATATGGTAGTTCTTGAAGAATGTTTCATGTACATTTGAAAGGAATATATATTCTGCTCCTGTAGTATTTTACAGACGTCTGCTAGATTTTTTTGGTTTATACTGTTTTCAAATCTTTAATTTCCTTGCTGATCTTCTGTTTCACTGTTCTATGCATTATTGAAAATGGGGTGTTGAAGTCTCCTACTATTATTATTGCACTGTCTAATTCTCCCCTCAGTGCTGTCAATTTTTGCTTCATGTATTTTGGGGTCTGTTGTCAGGTGTATTTTTTTTTTTTGGTTTTTGGAGTTTTTAATTATTAATCTTCTTCACTGAATTGATTGTTTTAGCAGCATTAAATGTTCTTCTTTTTCTCTAACAATATTTATCTTGAAGTTTATTTTGTCTGATCTTAGTATAGTCACTTCATCTCTCTTTGGTTACTGTTCACCTGTTCTATCTCATTTACTTCTTTGAAAAGCAGAGAGACAGAGACAGAAATAAACAGAGATCTTCCAGCTACTGGATCACTTGCCAAGTGCCCAGAATAGCCAGGGATGGACCAAGTCAAAGCCAAAACCTAGAACTCAGTTTGGGTCTCCCATGTGTCCCACACGACTGGCAGGGACCCATGCACTGGATCCCTTACCTGCTGCCTCCCAGGTTTGCATCAGTTGGAAGCTGGAATCAGATGCAGAACTGGGACTTGAACTCAGGCATTCCAATATAGGACATGAATATCCCAAGTGGTGTCTTTCTTTTTTCTTTCAAATATTTATTTATTTCAAAAGCAGATATACATAGAGAGACAGAGACAGAGAGAGAGAGAGTGTGTGAGCGAGATCCTCAGGGCCAGCACTGTGGTGCAGTGGGTTAATGCCCTGGCCTGAAGCGCCGGCATCCCATATGGGCGCTGGTTCTAGTCTCGCCTGCTCCACTTCGGATCTAGCTCTCTGCTGTGGCCTGGAAGAGCAGTAGAACATGGCCCAAGTGCTTGGGCCCCCGCACCCACATGGAAGACCAGGAAGAAGCTCCTGGCTCTTGGCTTCGGATCGGCACAGCTCCGGCCATTGTAGCCAACTGGGGAGTGAACCAGCGGATGGAAGACCTCTCTCTCTCTCCTCCTCTCTCTGTGTAATTCCGACTTTCAAATAAATAAATAAATCTTTAAAAAAAAAAGAGAGAGAGAGAGAGAGAGAGATCTTCTATCCACTGATTCACTCCCCAAGTGGCCACAACAGCCAGGGCTGGGACAGGCTGAAGCCAGGAGCCGCATCCAGGTTTCCCTTGTTGGTGCGGGGCCCAAGTACCTGGGCCATCCTCCGCTGCTTTCCCAGGCACACAAGCAGGCAGCATATTGAAAACCTCACTGTTGTTACCAGCTGTATTTCTTGGATAAAGACTCCTTGGATTATCATAAACCTTTGGATAACAACCAGAGTTTGGGAAAAGTTGCCAGTGTTCTTGCTGATTTTAAGAACAAAAGGATTTTCAGGGATCCTTATTCCACAATTCTGGCTGATGTCACCCTATTAAAAAAATTTTTTTTGGTGGGGGGGAAGTGGAATGAAGACATCCAACTGATGTATCTTTTTAAAATTAATTTATTTGAAAGAGTTACAGAGAGAGAGAGAGAGAGAGAGAGAGAGAGAGAATCTTCCATCCACTGGTTCACTCTCCAAATGGCTGCAATGGCCAGCACTGGGCCAGGCCAAAGCCAGGAGTCAGGAGCCTCTTCCAGTTTTCCCACATGAGTGCAGGGGCCCAAGCCCTTGGGCCATCTTCTGCTAGTTTCCCAGGCACATTAGCAGGGAGCTGGATAGGAAGTGGAGCAGACGGGACTCAAAACCGTTGCCCATATGGAATCCTGGCATCACAGGTGGGGGTTTTACCTACTATGCCACAATGCCAGATCCCCTAAATCTTTATATAACCATCATTTTTAACATATAGTTGTTTACATGTCTGAAACCCTCTTCCATTTCACCGTCCTCCAAATGGAGATTATAATTTAGCAGTGAGGCTCAAATAGAAAATTTTGTGCCAGTTGTCACAAAACATTAACATCTAGGCAAATCTTAAGTGATTTGGTACAGTGCAGCAGATAAAGTGAATATGTGCGCTTTTCAATAGTTGCCTCTTGGGTACTTTCTCCTTTGACATGACAGTACTCTGCTGCTACTTAATAAGGCCTATTTTGCACAACTGCCTACTAGTGAGAATGGCTGGCTCTCCCTGAATCAGGTGCAAGGGGGGTGCTATTGATAAAAAAATCCTAGGCAAAGACATGATGACAGTCCAAATCCCCAAGGTTTTAGTTGTCATTATGACAATAATATTTATTGAGAATTTACAGACCTAGGAAACCGTTGTAGTTGGAACTGGGAAAATTCTTTAGAAGCCCCACTAGTCTATATCCATTACAAAACCAACATGCTTCTAACAGGTCATCTGAAGCACAGTGCTGTATGTAGCATTATGTTTTTACACTCTGTCAAGGCATTTGACTTTGGGAGAGATCTTACCTTTACTACAGAGTGGAGAGAATTGAGACATTTTCTTCAGAGACTTTAGTAAAAAGCCCTCCGCAGTTCTACAGTCGAGTTAAGACGCTAAAGGCCATCGATCTTTTCAAAAGATTTCAATTCACTCCATGAATAACAACGCTTTGGTGCGCGGGAGTTCAGCAAACACTAGACTGGGAACTGCGAACGGCTGAGGATCTGACCAGCTGGTCAGCTGGGGGGTCTCTAGTTTCCTGTCTTTTCTCCACACCTACTTCTATGAACTGTATCCCACCCTCACTTCATCTTTCCCTCTTCCGTCCATTCACCTGAGGGTAAAACGGGCTAACTCCACAGAGCCCAACGGTGCTAACTGCTGCTGCTTTCCACCTGCTGGAACCCATTTCAAAAGACTGGTATCCTAGCCTCTCCTCTCGTGCTGGGGGTGCGGGGGAGAAACAGAGGCAGAAACCATCCCGGCGCTGGAATGAGCCACTCCCGCTCACCTGTGCTTTCCTTCACTCGTCCACAGCGCCGTCCAAAACGCACCAGCATCTCTGACGAGTTGCCCACGCCGCTCCCAGAGCTGCAAAGGCGACTGTTAGTGTCGAGCGGGGCGGACTCTAGCCAGCTGAATGTTTCCCACGCCGCGTGGTTGCTAAGCAACGCCGCCGGAAGTGACGCCACTGTCGCCGGGGAACGAGGAACGCGCCGAGGTCGGCTGGGGTGGGGGCTGAAGATCCGAGGCTGCGCCTGCGCGGGAAGTGGAGGCCCGGCGTGTGGAGGAAGGGCGGCCCTGGCGCGCAGGCTCTGGGGCGCCCAGGGGCACCAAAGCCGTGGAGGGAGGGCGGCTGCCGGGGCCAAGCCTAGGCCCGTGAGGTGCGATCTATTGCTGCCATTTCTTCCTGGTGACCCCCGACTAGATCCCGACGCCTACCTCTGGGTGGACTGTGCAGGTGTGTGAGAGCGCCAGGCCTCGCCTTGGTGTGTGTGGCCCCCGCAGGTGCAGTGTGAAGGCCCGAAACCCTCCCTCAGGTGTGGAAACCCAGGGATTAAATGACAGTAAAGTTTTTTATACTCTTTTGTTTCCTGAGGCATGGTCAAGGCTAGATGGCCTAAGATTTTTTTTTTTTTTAGTTATGTTAAAAATTGAATGTTGTCCCGAGAATATTAACTTCTTTAATATTAATATTTAATATTAAAATTTGATATTAACTTATTTAAGTTAAAATTTCTTGGTAAACAAACTAATAAATTGAATTCGAGGATCAGTCGGATTTTTGACACAAAAATATCTTGAGAGTGGATTTGCGCTTGACCACAGAACATCCTTTTCTAACATGTTCATGATGTCCAAGTGATTTCATTACTAGTTAATTGGCTGTGACATGTATAATTTAGCACCAAGTTGAATTCCCTCAACATGAGAGGATGCAGGATTTTTAATAACAAAAATTCTAATGAAGTTGTGCTGTTTTTCTTCAGGTTTTCTCTCAGATGTGCTGCTGTAATAATGCTGGTAAGTGTGGAAGGGTTAACAAAATATTTGTAGACAAAAATTAGTTTGTGTGCATATGGCACTGGTGGGTTTTGGGAAGCATAGCTTAAATAATGTCAGGAACTAGGAAGGGTCAGAGGTTTTTACCCTATTTAAAAGCTAACAACTTACCGTGCTGCAGTTTTGTGCAAGATAGGAGACTCCTAACAGATTCTGGCAATAGCCAGAATACCAGCAGTTTGGCCTCAGTTCCCCCGGGATGATGCAAAGAAGTCAGTTGGATGTGGAGTATGTTGGATTACAGGAGAGGAGTGCTGAGCCTAGGGAACCTCATTCTTTATAATGGACAGCCTCTCAAGGCTGTTGACTGTGCAGACACCTGTGAGATAGTTCAGAGCAAAGAGCAAGTGAGTGCCTTGCTCATAAGCTAAACAGAACCACAGAGACCCATGGAGAATTGTCTCCAAACAAGAATTATGTGAAATTATAATTACATTGGTTACAAAACAATTTGAATTTCGTAAGATGTGATGTCATTAATTTGCAAATTTAACATAGTGGTTAGAGATCACTTCAGATTCCAGTTTTCAACTCTAACCTACAGATCTTCACAATATGTCAGTCTGGAGATTTGGAGTTACTGTTTGTTCTTCGGTTCCTCTTTTTTTTTTTTTTCCCTTGTAAGTTTAAGAAGGTAGCCTATGCATACTGATTTGAAACAGTTTATATTACTCTGGGAAAAAAAAAAGTGTAGAAAGTGTATTAACTACAGTTGAACCACCCAAGACTCTACCACTGTACACATAAGCATTTGTTTTTAAAAACAAAAATGGGATTATACTGTACATACTGTTTTGTGACTTACATGTTTAATTTGAAATAAACATATTAGCTTTTACTGGCTGAATAAATAGCTGACTTTCACAAATAAACCTTATTTAAGCAGTTGCTAATTTTTGGATGTATATGTGGTTTCTAGTTTTCATTATTATGCAAAGTACGTAGGCTACTGAAGACATACCAAATAGACATTGCTTATGCTTTTGGAGAAAAGAGTTAATAACTGCTTTGGAAATGTTAACAAATTGGTTTAAAAATAGATTCACATTCTTAAAAATAGATCTATGCAAATTCTTAAATTTTTGGAGACATTTCAAATATACCATTAAATTTCTAGATGTTTATTGAAAACAAAAGGTTGTATTCCTCTATTATTTGACAAAAGAAAAAAATGAAATCTGTAAATATCAATTGGCTTATCTCTTAAGATTTTATCTACTCATTAAAAATTTGTTTTTTCTATTTTTTTATTATTATTTTTTTTAACAGGCAGGGTTAGACAGTGAGAGAAAGACAAAGTGAAAGGTCTTCCTTCTGTTGGTTCACCCCCCAAATGGCCGACACCAGGCCAGGTGCTTCCTCTTGGTCTCCCATGCGGGTGCAGGGCCCAAGCACTTGGGCCATCCTCCACTGCCTTCCCAGGCCACAGCAGAGAGCTGGACTGGAAAAGGAGCAACCAGGACAGAACCGGCACCCCAACCGGGACTAGAACCCAGGGTGCGGGCGCCACAGGTGGAGGATTAGCCTAGTGAGCTGCGTCACCGGCCAAAAAATTTGTTTTTTCATAACATTCCCTGTTTTGCATTTAGGTAAGGTTTTTTGCTTAATTATGTTTCTCCCATTGCTGATAGATGCTTTTCTGATAGGAATAAACAGCTTATTTAGAAACGACAACATTTAAAACTTTTTTTTTAAGATTTATTGAGGCTGGCGCTGTGGCTCAGTAGGTTAATTCTCTGCCTGTGGAGCTAGCATCCCATAAGGGCACTGGTTCTAGTCCTGGTTGCTCCTTTTCCAGTCCAGTTCTCTGCTATGGCCTGGGAAAGCCATGGAAGATGGCCCAAGTCCTTGGGCCCCTGCACCCGTGTGGGAGACCCGGAAGAAGCTCCTGGATCCTAGCTTCAGATCAGTCCAGCTCCAGCCATGCCCATTTGGGGAGTGAACCAGCAGGTGGAAGACCTTTCTCTCTGTCTCTCCTTCTCACTGCCTGTAACTCTACCTCTCAAATAAATAAATAAAATCTTTTTTAAAAAAACCTCTTTTTTTAAATAAAAAAGATTTTCTTTATTTATTTGAGAAACAGAGAGAACTCCCATCCTTCAGGTCACTCCCCAAATGGCCACAATAGCCAGAGCTGGGTGGATCCAAGAGCAAAAGCGTGGAACTCCATCAGGGTCTCCCACGGGGGTGCAGGATCCCAAGCACTTTGACCACCTTCTGATGCTTTCCCAGGTACATTAGCAGTGAGCTGGATCAGAAGTGGAGCAGCCAGGAATCAAACCTGCATCCATTTGAAATCTGGTGCCGTAAGCGGCAGCTTTACCACTACACCACAACATCAGCCCCAACATTCAGAACTTTTAAAATGTGATCATTATGCTATTTACCCATTAAAATAACATCCTGTCATTTGTAACAGCATGAATGGAACTGGTGGTCATTATATTAAATGGAGTAAACCACACACAGAAAGACAAAGACCATATAATCTCATATGTGGAACCTAAAAAAGCTGATCTCATAGATCGTGAGAGAATAGTGGTTACCAGAAGTTGTAGGGGTGGGGAGAAATGGGAGAAAGGTTTATCTAGGAATATTAAAGTATAGTTAACTGGGGCTGGTGCTGTGGCATAGCAGATAAAGATGCCGCCTATTCAAGTGCCGGCTGCTCCACTTCCAATCCAGCTCCTTGCTAATGTGCCTGGGAAAGCAGTGGAAGATGGCTCAAGTACTTGGGCCCCTGCACCAACGTGGAAGACCCGGAAGAAGCTCCTTGCTACAGATCTGCTCAGCTCAGGCTACTGCAGCCATGTAGGGAGTGAACCAGCAGATAGATGATCTCTCTCCCCCTCTCTGTAACTCTGTCTTTAAAATAAAATAAATAAATCTAAAAACAAAGTACAGTTAACTAGGAGAAATAAGTTCTGGTGTTCTGTTATACAGTAGGATGACTATAGGTGACAATTATATGCTATATATCTCAAAAAAGCTAGAAGAAAGGATTTTTCAGTTTTTTCACTTCAAAAAAACTAAGATGAAATGTTTGCAGAGATAGGTATGTTTACTCTAATTTGAGCATCACACAATATATCCACGTATCAAAATAAAGCATGATACCCCATAGGCAGTGTACAGTTTTGTATGTAACTAAAAAGTAAAATACTTTTATTAATTTTAGGAGTTAAGAAACTTCCTTTCCTTTGCTCCCAATCAGAAGATTTTGCACCCTACGTATAGAACAGGCATAATGTTTAAAAACAACTGGGTGGTGTTTAAAGCTGAAGATTGTCATGGCTGTTTAACCTAAGCTCTGTGCTGAAGTAAAGTTAATTGTCTTGGAAATACTAATTTGGGTAAGTATTTTTTAAATAAATACTAATAGAAAAAGATCTGAAATTAAGAAAATTTATTAGGTCAGCAGTGGAACTAAGTTGTCTTGTGATATTTTGATGTTAATATTTTAGGAATTTCAGTAACTTGCAGCTAATTAAATCTTAAGCTCAAGGCAGATTTCAACCATGAGTTGCAGTTGAAAAGTTTTTTTTTATTGTAAATTCAGAATGCTCCAAAGTGATGTTTAATTTAAAATGTGCCTAAGTGCAATGGTCATTTGATCTTCAATTATGTCTTACTGTATTTGTTATATTGTGATAATTGAAAATTCAATAGCTAAATCTCTGGGAGTCAGAGACACCTGGACTAGACATTTAAAGATACAGGATCCAGAGTATCAGAATATTATGTACAGTCTACATTTCCCACAACAGGTGATATCCCTCTGGCTTAGTTCTAACTTGAAAGAAAACAGATTACTGTACTTGAGTTAAGAGCTCTATTCTGTCTCCTCTAAGAATCTGTTGCAGTAAACTGGAAAATATATGTGGTTAAATGCCATGCTCTCCATTTTTAGGTGATCTCTTCTTTTTCTTATGTGAGAGGCAGAGAAAGCGAGAGCTTCCATCTGCTGGTTCACTCCCCAAGTGCCTGTACTGGCTGTGAGCCAAGAACTCAATCCAGTTTCCCACATGGGTGGCAGGAACTCAACCACTTGAGCCATCACCACTCTCCCCCGGGATCTACATTAGGAGGGAGCTGGAGCCAGGCATCAAATCCAGGCATTCCAGTGTGCAGTTGTAGGTACCTTAACCACTATGCCAAGTGCCAGCCCTGGGTCTCTTCTTTTCTTGTGGGTAGAATTCTTTTCTTTTTTGGCTAAACCTCAGAATGGTTATAGAGTAAATCATACATGTGGTGTTAGTTAGTGTATCCTTTGAGACTAATGAATATTTGTGTAATTAAACACCTTTTTTTTTTTTTTTTTTTTTACAAAATGACCTACTTGTTATTTTTAAACTAATGAATAGTCTTTAAATGTTCTATTTCTTAGGCACTGGAGTATAGACCTGAAAAGCATGAACTTTGAAATCAAGCCAACCTGAGTCCAAAATTTCAGCACTGCCACTTAATTAACATTTAGTCACTGGCCGGCGCCGCGGCTCACTAGGCTAATCCTCCTCCTGTGGCACCGGCACCCCGGGTTCTAGTCCCGGTTGGGGCGCTGGTTCTGTCCCAGTTGCTCCTCTTCCAGTCCAGCTCTCTACTGTGGCCTGGGAAAGCAGCGAAGGATGACCCAAGTGCTTGGGCCTGCATCCTTGTGGGAGACCAGGAGGAAGCACCTGGCTCCTGGCTTCGGATCGGCACAGTGCACCAGCCGTGTCAGCCATTTGGGGGGTGAACCAACGGAAGGAAGACCTTTCTCTCTGTCTAACGCTGCCTGTGAAAAAAAAAACTTAGTCACTTTAAGCTCCAGTATATATTTTTAAGATGAGGATAGTAATTCCTACTTAATAACTTCTAATAATTAAATGAGGTGATGATTGTAAAGTTCTTAATCCAGTGCCTAGCATGTAATGAGCCCTCAAAAATATTTTTATAAAGAATTGCTCACATACTATAGCTTTTCCTGGTAATTTTCCTGATAATTTTCATCTTTACCATCAATTTATTCTCTCCTTTTCTCTTGAGATTCATAAGTAATAACTGTCATTATTTTCTAATGGAAACAGAAAATTGAATACTAATTGTTACACCATAAGCAGTATGATTACTCATAAAGTAGCTGAAGCAGATATAAATTAACATGTGACAACTGTTAACAGAATTAGCCTCTGGTTTGGAAGAATTCAGTTGACCTCCAGTTTGCATGTAATTTGTTTAGAATTTCAAGTAGAGCATCAGGCAGTAAGTTTTTTTTGTTTGTTTGTTTTTAAAGGTTTATTTATTTATTTAAAAGAGTTGCAGAGAGAAAGAGGAGAGACACAGAGAGAAAGATCTTTCATTCTCTGGTTCACTCCCCAAATGGCCTTATCAACTGGGATTTGGCCAGACTGAAGCCGAGAGCCTGGAACTCCATCCAGGTCTCCCACTGTGGGTGGTAGGAACCTAAATATGAGCCCACTGCTTCCTCAAGCACTTTATTTATTTATTTATTTATTTATTATTTTTTTGACAGGCAGAGTGGACAGTGAGAGAGAGAGAAAAAGGTCTTCCTTTGCCGTTGGTTCACCCTCCAATGGCTGCCAGCCGGCGGGCTGCGGCCAAAGTACTTGGGCCATCCTCCACTGCACTCCCTGGCCACAGCAGAGAGCTGGCCTGGAAGAAGGGCAACCGGGACAGAATCCGGCACCCCGACCGGGACTAGAACCCAGGGGTGCCGGCGCCGCAAGGTGGAGGATTAGCCTATTGAGCCACGGAGCCAGCCCAATGTGTGGATGTACTTTAAAACCAGCAGTATTTCTTAATTTTATTCCTTTCATTTAAGTTGTACAATTCATGAGCATATAATTTTCATAATACTCTTATTAAGTTTTTAATTTTACAATGCATATTTACTCACTATAGAGATTCTACTGTTAATATTTTACTCTTGTCAATCTCTATCCATCCTATCTGCTCTTTGTTCTTTTGCCTTTCAGACATGAGTGTTGTCCTTCTCTTTCCTTCTTTGTTCCTCACTGTGTTAAACCAGTGCTTCTTTGAAACTGGTTGAATCTCATGTCTTTCAGCTCTGTGAATTGTTTATAGTTTCAAAGTCATTCTCTTCCCATACTTACAGAATTTCACCTTGCACATGTATGGCCTCCTACTCAACCATAGAATCAAGGACACATCCTCCCCTGCAAATGTCTGGCATTCTCTCAATTTAACTCCCTCCTCCCATAGAAATAATACTCTGCTCTGTAAATTCCAATCACTTCTGCCTTTCCAGACTGATCTCTTCCACTCAGACTACAATAATCTATTTGGGGACCCCCCCCCCATATACCTTAGGCTAAAAAGTGTTGCCAGCAGAAAAACAGACAATTATAGAGCTCATTTGTGATAATACTGTACTGCATGTTGTCAATGCCTGGGAACTTATTTCATATATTTTGCCCAGTTTCTTGTTTATAGTGAGTTATTCCAGTTCCAGTTGCTCCACAATTCTAGCATATTATTTTTTAAGGATTTATATTATATTTATTTGAAAAGCAGAGTTACAGAGATGGGGGGAGATAGAGGGAGAGATCTTCCATCTGTTGGTTCACTCCCCAGGTGGCCATAAAGCCTGGGGCTGGGCCAGGCAGAAGCCAAAAACCACAAGCTTCTGAGTCTTCCACGGGGGTGCTGGGGCCCAAGGATTTATGCCGTCTTTTGCTATTTTCCCAGGTGCATTAGCAGGGAGCTGGATCGGAAGTGAAACAGCTAGGACGCAAACTGGTGCCCATATGGGATGCTGGTGTCGCAAGTGGTGGCTTAATCCACTATGCCACAATACTGGCCCCTCATTTTTTTTCCAAATGCAGCATAGTGGTTAAATATTTTGGACTAGAAAGATCTGACTTCCAATTCTTGCCCCATATTGAGTAAATTTTCTCAATACCTCAGTTTCCTTTTCTGTGAAATGCAGATAATACAATGCGCCTATTTCCTAAAATTATTGTAAATATTGAAACATTTTATTTAGTTTGCTTTGTCTGCTATAACAGATTACCACAAACCAGGTGGCTTAGAACAATAGAAATTTATTTTGCAAAGTTATAGAGACCAAAAGTCCAAAACAGTTTCCCTGGCCTGAAATCAAGATTCTCAGCAGGGCCACCGTTTTAACGGGGCCCTAGGAAAGAATCCATTCCTTGCTGCCTCCATCTTCTGGCTGCCAGTTTTCCACTTATGCTTGCATCACTCCAATCTCTGCTTTCATTGTCACATTGCTTTTTCCTCTTCTATTCATATCAAATCTCCTTTTGCCTTTTTTTAAAATAAGGATACTCTTGATTGCAATTAGAGACCACCCAACTAAACCAGACTAATCTTCACATTTTAAGATACTTTATTTAATTCTATCCAGTATCTTTTACCTTACAAGACAACATTAACGAGTCCTAGGAATTAGGACCTGAAATCTTTGGATGGCCATTATTCAACCTACTGTAAGATATTAAAGCATTTGACACACATCGTGTTGCAACCAAAATATTTAACAACCACTGCAGGTATCAATAAATAAGGATGGGTGCTGATTATAAGTATTCAGAATGGTGCTTTTGGCTGAATAGCAGCCCTACACTTAGCATATGCCACGACCTTGAGCATGTAGTATACACTGAGTAAATTTTTTTAAAAATTTTTTTTGACAAGGCAGAGTTAGAGAGAGAGAGAGAGAGAGAGAGAGAGAGAAAGGTCTTCCTTTTCCCATTGGTTCACCCCCCAAATGGCTGCTACGGCTGACATGCTGTGCTGATCCGAAGCCAGGAGCCAGGTGCTTCCTCCTGGTCTCCCATGTGGATGCAGGGCCCAAGCACTTGGGCCATCCTCCACTGCCTTCCCTGGGCCACAGTAGAGAGCTGGACTGGAAGAGGAGCAACTGGGACAGAACCAGCACCCCAACCGGGACTAGAAGCTGGTGTGCTGGCGCCACAGGCGGAGGATTAGCCTATTGAGCTGCGGCGCCAGCTGCGAGAGCCAACTTTAATAAGTCATGTCTATTTCCTCTTTTCAAATGGCTTGTCTTCTGCTTATTTCTGCTTGTCTATTTGAGTACTTCATATGTAGAAAATACTAACATTGCCATATTTATGAGAAATATTGTTTGTATTATAGTGTATTAATCTTTTCTAAATCTTATGCTTGTTTTTAGATATTTTAATCTTTGTCTTGAAATACATCTAAAATGAAAATGTGACTTAGAATGTATCAAACTTAATGAAATAAATATATTGATATATACTAACTAGATTTTTTTAACATTTATTTGAAAGGCAGAGATACAAAGAGAGAGAGGCATTGAGAGAGAGAAATATTCCATCTGCTGATTTATCTTGAAATGGTCGCAACAGCCGTGACTGGGCCAACCCCAAGCCAGAAGCAACTTCCGGGTCTCCAGAGTGGACGCAAGGGCCCAAGTACTTGGGCCATCTTCTGCTGCTTTCTCAGGCACATTAACAGGGAGCTAGATTGGAAAGTGGAACAGCCAGAACTTGAACCAGTGCCCATTTGGGATGCCAGTGCTGCAGGCAGCGGCTTTCCCCACCACACCAGAGCTCTGGCGCCTTAACTATGCTTTTTAAAAAGCAATATTCTTTTTCCTTAAAGTTTTTCCTTTGCAAAGAAATGAAACCCCCATGTTTAACCTCAAACATAAGTAAATTCTCCATGGCCAGTTTTATTACGCTTAAGTGAACACATGTAAAATAAAGATGTTAAAGTTAAATTGAATTGAAAAGACTGTTGGAGTCAAGATAGGATTCCATAGAAAAATTAAAGTAGAGGAACCTCCTGTTCATCACAGGAGTCTCTCTAGGGTAGTTGTCCCCGAGACCCATCCTTACTCCCACGAACATTCCCTGCATAATCCCTGGTGTTGTGAATTTGATATCTTTTCTGCTGTGGTTGATAGTACAATTGGCCTAAAAATAAGGAGATAATCCAGTGGACCAGATCTCATCAGGCCGGCGCACCGCGCTGATCCAATGGCAGGAGCCAGGTACTTCTCCTGGTCTCCTATGGGGTGCAGGGCCCAAGGACTTGGGCCATCCTCCACTGCACTCCCTGGCCACAGCAGAGAGCTGGCCTGGAAGAGGGGCAACCGGGACAGAATCCAGCGCCCCGACTGGGACTAGAACCAGGTGTGCCGGCACCGCAAGGTGGAGGATTAGCCTAGTGAGCTGTGGCGCCGGCCCACTGAGACCTTTAAAAGTAGAGTTTTCCTGTCCACTTGCAGAAGAGGAAGTCATAGGTCTGACGCATAGAAGGATTCAACGTGCCATTGCTGGTCTAAAGGTGTAATAAGGAATGTGGGCAACTTCTGGGAACTGAGATTAGCCCCTGGCTGACAACCAATAAACAGGGACCCCAGTCCCGCATCTAATTGTAAGGAAATGAATTCTACCAACAACCTGGTGACCCTAAAGAAAGACCCTGACCTACAGATCAGAAACAGCCCAGGCTGACACCTTGATTTCAGAGTAGTCCCCAGTCATCCAGATTTAGAACCCTCAGATACTAGGAGAGAATAAAGCTCTGTTGCTTTAAACTGCCTGATGTGGGTAATTTGCTACATGGCAATGGAAAACTAAAACAACAGCTAATCTTAAAATTGTTTTCATGTTTGGCAATTCATACTATGAAGTACTGAATCATTTTTTATTCTGATCAAACATCATTCTGATCTTTGAAGAGAGGTTAATTAAAATGTCACTGCCCGGGGTCAGCGCTGTGGTATAGCATTTAAAGCTGCCATCTGCAGTGCCAGCATCCCATTTGGGTACCTGTTTGAGTACCAGCTGCTCCACTTCCAATCCAGCTCTCTCCTATGGCCTGGGAAAGCAGTAGAAGATGCCCAAGTCCTGGGGCTCCTGCACCCTCATGGGAGACCCAGAAGAGGCTTCTGGCTTCAGATCGGTGCAGCTCCAGCCATTGTGGCCAATCAGGGAGTGAACCAGTGAATGGAAGACCTCTCTCTCACTCTCTCTCTCTGCCTCTCCTTCTCTCTCTGTGTAATTCTTTCAAATAAATAAATAAATCTTTTTTAAAAAAATTTCACTGTCCTTGAAAGTTTAAAGGTTGCCTAATTTTTCTACTAATTATTTTCTAACTTTTTATGAGTATGCTTTTTCACTTTTGTATTCACCAGTAAATGGGCCGGAGCTGAGTTGCCCAGGTGGATTGATTACATAAATTGTGAGGCCCAGAGCACAGTGAAAATGCAGGACCACTTCTTCAAAGAATTAAGAATTTCAAGACAAGGACAGCAGAGCATTAAATTGAGAGTTGGGGGTCAGGGGTCAGCATTGTGGCGCAGCAAGTTAAGTGTTGTTGCCAGCAACACTGACATCACATATCAAGTCCCAGTTGCTCCACTTCCAATCTAGCTCCCTACTAATGTACCTGGAAAAGCAATGGAAGATGGCGCAAATACTGGGGTCCCTGCCACCCACATGGGAGACCCAGATGGAGCTCTGTCTCCTAGCCATTGCCACATGTGAGGAGTGAAATAGCAGGTGGAGGATCTCCCCTCCCCTCCTTTCCCCTTTCCCCCTTCCCTTTCCCTTTCACTTCCTTTCCTTCCCTTTCTCTACCTTACCTTACCCCTACTTCTCTCTCTGAAATATTTCTTAAAACTTACAAAATATAACCTTTATTCCTTTTTTTAATATAAGAAAACAAGCTCAGTGAGGTCACAAATCCAAACAATAAAAGGGTACTTTGAAATTGGGTGATGCTGTGTCAAAAGACTTGAATTCTAATCCCAGCTCTGACTGCTAACTAGCTGTATGACTTTAGATATGGTTTCGCTTTTCTGGAGTTCATTTTATTTTTTGCAGAATGCCTAAACTGATTGATTGTATCCCCATGTACCTTCTGTTTCTAAGATTCTGTAACTCTAATATTATAAATTTGAGTGATCTCTAGGTCTGATTATAGGAGCTTTTAAAATCTATCGTTTGTATAAGACTATGTCATTAACATATTTATAAGGTATTTAGAAGGAAGTTTTCATTTTATTACAATTTTTTTTTTGACAGGCAGAGTTAGACAGTGAGAGAGAGACAGAGAGAAAGGTCTTCCTTCCATTGGTTCACCCCCCCAAATGGCCACTACGGCCGGTGCACTGCACCGATCCGAAGCCAGGAGCCAGTTGCTTCCTCCTGGTCTCCCGTGCGGGTGCAGGGCCCAAGCACTTGGGCCATCCTCCACTGCCTTCCCAGGCCACAGCAGAGAGCTGGACTGGAAGAGGAGCAACCAGGACAGAACTGGCGCCCCAACCGGGACTAGAACCCGGGGTGCTGGTGCCGCAGGTGGAGGATAAGCCAAGTGAGCTGCAGCGCCAGCCTCATCTTATTACAATTTCAAACAATTTAGGGGTCAGCTTTGCTGGTAATTTGTAGCATATTGAGAGCTAATGAGTTTGAATTCTCCATGTTACTTAGTTTTATCTTTGAGCTAAATAATCTTAATTTCTTTATCTGGCCCTCTGAGATCTATTTTTATCTTCATAACTCTCCTCTCACCTACCTACTCACAAGCCCTCTGACCTTCAGGGCTGTCCCTGAACCTGACCCAGCACTATATTCAGGGATTGAGTTGCTGATTGCCATCTCATTTTGCTCTTAAAATCATTGTCTTTCTCCTTTCTTCCTCTATGTATTAGAATGGTATTCCTCTGAGGATCATGTTAAAATGCCAATTCTGTTTCAATAAGGCAAGGGTGGTCTGGAAGTTCTGCTTTTCTTACATTCATAGATAATGTTGATACTATTGGTCCCCAGACCACACTTTGAGAAGCATGGTTTATCCCATTGAAATATGCTTTGTTAAAAAAAAAATGTTTTAATGACCTCTTTCCCACAACCTAAGTAATAGCCATTCGTAGGATTTTTGTGGTGAGGTAGTATACTTTTTTTCCAGACATGCCTAAGTTCTGCATGTTCTGCCACAAGTACTTCAAACACTCAGATGTTCCTTCATTGCCTATCCTGTCCTGAAAAGGTAATAAGAACCAAAAAACAAACTTGATTGGCCTACACCTGAAGTCTGGATGCATAGAAGCAGTCTGAAAGTCAATTCAATCCTTTAATGTCCAAACTACCCTCTAAATAAGCAGCCAAATATGAAGACATTCAAGCTTACTTGTCACAGAATTATCACCCTGGCTCCTGTGCACTTAACCACCAAAGAGGAATTACTAGACACAGAAATTGCTTGGAGTTGGAGCTACCATAGAAAATGGCAGTACAGTCATTCTCAACTTGGCTCTGTAGACAGTTGGGGCCAGATAATTTCTTGATGGTCGAGGCTGGAGGGAGTGCTGTAGGAAAGGTGCCTGCATTGTAGGAAGTTTAGCAGCATCTCTGACCTCTACTCACTAGATGTTGGTGGCAGCTACTCCCCCACCCAAGTTACGACAACCGGAAATATCTCTAGACATTGCCAAATATCTCCTTGGGAATAAAATTGCTCCTGTTTGAGAACCATTTGCTTTAGGCTCTAAAGTTCGTATCTTATTTGTGAATAAAGTGAAGACAGAAATCATACATTCTCTGGCTTATCTTAAAGAACATTTGTCCCTAAGTAAGTTCTTATCACCAAGTCCTTAGCTTTGTTGCAGCACAACAATCATCATATGAGTGCTTAATAAGCATTTTTGTTGCTTAACTTAATCACCTACTTGTGTTAGATGCATTTTGGATTCTTTACTTATCTAGATATAATATATGTACAGGTATTATGGCATACATCTGTTCACTCAGATCAGCTTTTAAATGTCTTTTGTACACAATCTGTGATTGTATCTATTTTATGTTTTAAAAAATGCTATTTCTGATACACCCACATATTCATTTACTTTTTACAGTATTTTAATGTTTTAGCATTTACTTTTTACAGTATTTGAATGTTTTAGCATCTGGTTGAAACTATCTCTAAGGGAGTTAGATTTCCCTTTATGGTCTCATAGGCTGCTTCATGAGCTAACATATTGATCCACAGCTGGTGGATCGGTAGGCAACCACAGGAAGGCACCAGATGGGATACAATTGGCTTCCTCAGTACTGTGAGTGGGATATAGAATTTATAGCAGCTTCCCTACCTACTTAATATCAGATTTTTATCCCAGAAGATGGTAGGAAGAGTCTTTTACTAGCCTAATAGCTCCACAGCACATCTTCAAGTGACACCAGTGATAGGGGATAAATAGTTAAAACAATAATGCATTGACCAAACTCTTACCTAATACCCCCTATCATTTGGGGCATCCTGTTGGATTTCTCTTTTAGATGGACAGTGTGGTAGTTCTGTTGTAGACATATTTTTAGATGGGCTCTATAACAGTTAATGGAATAATACATTCTGGGCCAAAAGCTAAATCTGTTCTTGTTTGTGTTGTATAAACTGATGTCTGTGTGATGATGGTTCATATGGAAACAAAATATTAACATGGATTTTTCCCAGGACAGAAATTCTTAGAAACTCGCATTGTTTATAGAAGATGTAACTTAACAAAAAATGGTAGTTTTACTTTTACATGATGGATTTTCAGTCATATATCTAAACAGCTAGAAAAAATTATTTACAGTTAAACTAAATACCAGTTGTCACACAAAGTTTCATAATCAGTGCATAATGGAAATCTTGCTCATTCATATTTTTTCTACCACTATACAGTCATACTTTGGATTTTGTTACATATGAAAATCACAAGCTTTTTCACAAATAGA